GTTATCCATTCCTCAGTTGATGGACACCTAGGTTGTTTCCATCTTTTGGCTATTGTAAATAGTGCTGCGATGAACATGGGTGTGCATATACCTGTTCTTGTCATGGCTCTCACTTCTTTAGGGTATATACCTAGTAATGGAATGGCTGGGTCAAGTGATATTTCTAATTCCAGCTTTTGAAGGAATCACCATACTGCTTTCCACAATGGTTGTACCATTTTACAGTCCCACCAGCAGTGTATGAGAGTCCTGATCTCTCCACAACTTCGCCATCATTTGTTATTTTCTGTTTTGTTGAACTTTGTTGGAGCAAGATGGTACCTCATTGTTGTTTTGATTTGTGTCTCTCTAATAGCTAATGATCGTGAGCATCTCTTCATATGTTTGTTGGCCGCTTGAATATCCTCCTTGGTGAAGTGTCTATTCATCTACATTATTCTTTAGTGTTGCGTAGTATTCCATTGTATGTGTGTACCATAGTTTGGTTATCCATTCTTCTGTTGATGGTACCTAGGTTGTTTCCATCTTTTGCTTTTGTAAATAGTGCTGTGATGAACATGGGTCTGCAAATATCTGTTCTTGTCCTGGCTCTCACTTCTTTAGGATATATAGCTAGTAATGGGATTGCTGGGTCAAATGGTATTTCTAATTCCAGCTTTTTAAGGAATTGCCATACTGCTTTCCACAGTGGTTGTATCATTTTACAGTCCCATCAGCAGTGTATGAGAGTCCCAATCTCTCTACATCCTTGCCAGCATTTGTTATTTTCTGTCTTGTTGAACTTTGCCATTAGTGCTGGGGTGAGATGGTATCACGTTGTTTTGATTTGCATCTCTCTGATGGCTAATGATCATGAGCATTTCTTCATCTGTTTGCTGGCTGCCTGAATATCTTCTTTGGTGAAGTATCTATTCATATCTTCTGCCCATTTTTTAATTGGATTACTGATCTTTTTGTTTTTGAGGTGCTGGAGTTTTCTATAAATTTTAGAGATAAGTCCTTTGTCAGATACATAATTATCAACAAGTATGAATTTGTTGCTGTCATTTTGTTATGTGCTTTTTTGTGGTGTTGATTTCTTTGTTCCATAATTTTCTGTGCTAAGCTCATTTTGTTTATTGTGTTATCACTTCCCTCATTGCTATTGTTTTAGTATTTGCTAAGTATTTGTGCTGGTCCTTTTTTATATTTTAATGTGAAAGTTTTATCATTTTTCTTTGAGGTTCCCCTGTGATTTATAGTTTTCTTCCCAAGTTTAGAACAGTCTGTTCTATCTTGTAGTTGTCTTGACTTCCCTACCATTTAGAAGTTCTGTAAGTACACAGTTTTTCCTCTTTTTGGTTTATAGTTGTCCCCATTTGTCAATTGATGTCTCTGGTTCCCTGTTTACAATCTTGTAGGTTTATTTACTTTGGATACTTCCATAACTGGTTTGGTTTCTGGTTTATGTCATCATGTGTGTTAGTGGTCAGTTGTTTGCTGTTGTTGGTTCTCTGTCCAAAGGACTCCCTTTAGCATTTCTTGTAAGGTTGGTCTGGTTTTAACAAGGTCACTTAATTTCTGCTTATTTGGAAATGTCCTAATTTCACCATCATATTTGATGGACAGTTTTGTTGGGTATATAATTCTTGGTTGGGAAATTTCTCTTTCAGGGTTTTATATATACCATCCCATTGTCTTCTTGCCTGCATGGTTTCTGCTGAGAAATCTGAGATTAGTCTTATTGGTTGCCCCTTGTAGGTAACTTTTCATTTTCCTCATGCTGCTTTCAGGATTCTTTCTTTGTCTTTGGTTTTGGTGAGTTTGATGATGACATGTCTTGGTGATTTCTTTTGGGGTCTGTTTGGGGCTCATTGGAATTTTTGAATGGATATATTCTCATCTTTCATCATACCAGGGAATTTCTCTTCCAACAGATCTTTGACAATTTTCTCTATGGGTTTATTTGTCTCTTCCTGTTCTGGAATTCTGATTACATGTGGGTTATTCCTTTTGATGGTATCCCACATGAATCTTAGGCTTTCTTCATTTTGTTTTGATCCTTTTTCTGATTGATCCCTTTCGAGGTATTTGTCTTCAATCTCATTAATTCTGTCTTCCTTTGATTCAATTCTACTCCTTTGCCCATTCAGTGTGTTATCTATTTCTGAAAATGTAGTGTTAATCTTCTGGATTTCTATCTGTAGGTTTTGTATCATTTCTGATTTTTCATTTATTTTGTCATTTTGTTCTTGTATTGTCTTTCAGAATTGTTCTGGGGTTTTGTCTGTGTTTTCCTCAATTTTGTCAGTGTTTTCCTTGATCTCTCAGTCCATTGAAGGTACCTAAATATAATTCTTTTGAATTCCTTATCAGGGAGTTACAATGCTGCTGCTTCCTCAGGGATGTCTTTTGGATCTGTATCCTGACCCCTTGTTTCTCCTGCTTTATCTTGCTTCTTTGTGTGGACTGTGATGCTCTGTTGTCTCTGAGGCATTGTGACGTTTTTGTGTTTGTATTTAATTAGTAATTGTATGTTGGAGTGACTTGCCCATGATTTTCATTTTCTTTGGACTATAGGTAAGCAGGGTACTGTGCTCCTCTATTCGCTAGTTGGCAGCACTTATACACTCACCACCTGTCATTTTTCCTGTTGTCAGCCTCTGGCACATCCCCGACGTCCTTGGAAAATGGAGCCCATTCTTAGGTCCTGTTTTCATTCAGCTTTTTCCAGTAGTTGATGTCTAATTTACTTTTGTATACTTCCTTTCAAAGCTCAGGGCTCCAGAATTATCTTTTGTATCTGTGTCAATTGGTTTCTCTTTTCTTTGTTGAAGAAGGTCTGTGTAGCTTATCTGCCTATTCCGCCCTCTTACCAGATGTTGAGTTCACAGACTTTTGATTGAATTAAAATAACTGCCATGTCAGTATGTAAATGTATATTTTAAGGAAAAAAATAGATAAGTAAATGAGATTTTTCATTTTAAACTAATTTTCAGAGAGAAGAAAAAACTTACTCAATAAGTAACCTTCCTCCAGATAGACCAGGAAGTCTGTTCTCTGTGTCTTTTCTACTTAAACAGGCAACAAGGTAAGTTCTTTGCATTCAGTTGAATTAAGTGCTATGTGTCTGACAACCTTGGTACATTTTCTAGTGGTTATGGATAAGGTTAAGAGTAAAGTTAAATATGCAGAAACACCTGTAGATGGAGAGCGAGTGCCCATAGGAAATAAGCACCTTTTCTCTGGCTAAATGTGACATCATCACACATTTCTTTAGAATTAAGTTGGCACTTGATAAATTTAAAATTTCGTACTTCTTTATTATCCTCAGAGTAATAAAGCATTTTGAGAGTATGCAAAAAATGAAGTATATTTTGAGTCTTTGGTTTTATGTTTCTATTCTTGTTAATTAATTTGTAGTATCTAGAAGAATGAAAATAGATTATTGGATTATATAGTTTTATGATTCATGTCCAAGCACCTTTCAAAGTAGACTTGATGGAGCAAAATTTATAATTTGATTTTCAAGGGCTGGTTGAATCACATCACCACCACTTTAGACTATGTTAAACCGTTCAGGCACTGTGAATCTGTCACCACTTGAAGAAAAAATACCTGAAAATTCTCTTCATTTAGAGTTCTTTGCAAAAATTAGAATAATAGCCTAAATAAGTGAGATTAGCACAAAGGGAAGCAACAGTAGTTCCTTCCTAAGGGTTTAGGAATTTCTAGAACAAAAGAGGTTAGAAAAAACAGGCTAGTGGAAATGAGTTACTTGCTATCTAAAATATTATATGGTATTCAAAATAGTTACTAGAACTGGAAAATGCCATTATTTGCAAATGTTTAAGTATTGTTTTTCATGTTCACAGAATTCTTCAACATTGTGCCAAGATAAGGCTTTCTCTAAGCCATAATTATCATATATGCTGCTGGAAAATGGTATGTTAAAATTATTTCAAAAGGAAGATTTTTTTCCAAATGTTTTCTTGTTTGTACACATACTTCTAAGTTTAAACTGCTTCCATCTAAGTTATGTAAGAAACTCTTTGTAACATTAACATTAGATTATTCAGAAAAATACTCACATAATAGAAGAACAAGGAGCTCTCTGATAGTGCAGTTGGTAAGGCATTTGGCTGCTAACCAGAAGGTCGGTGGTTCAAACCCACCAGCTGCTCTGTGGAGGATGATGAGGTAATCTACTTCCATAAAGACTTATAGCCTTGGAAACCTAGTGGGGGTCACCATGCGTCAGAATCTACTCAATTGCAGTGGGTTTGGTTTCTTTGGTTAATAGAAGAACACTTCAGAATTAGCTCTGGTAGCATAGTGCCTAAGGCACTTGACTGCTAACCAGAAGGCTGGTGGTTCAAACCACCAGATACTCCTCGGAAGGAATATGGGGCAATTTACTTCCATAGTGATACTGCCTCGGAAACCCAAAGAGGGGTGGCTATGAGTCGGGTCCAACTTGACAGCACATAACAACAACAACAACAACATAAGTTTATTATACAGAGTTGGTTTTGTTTCTTTCTTTTTTTTTTTTTTTGTAATGGGAGCAGGGAAAGCAAAAAATTGATTGGTTAGATTTGTGTTATGTTATTGGGTGCTGTTGCTTTACTTCTGACTCCCAGCAAACCTATGTACAATAGAACAAAACAAGTGCCCAGGCTTGCGCCATACTCAAAATCATTGCTATGTTTGATCCCATTGTTGCAGCCAGTGTTTCAGACCATCTCATTGAGGGTCCTCCTCTTTTTTTCTTTTTGCTGACCCTCTACTTTACCAAGCATAGTGTCCTTCTCCAGAAACTAGTCCCTCCTGATACCATGTCCAAAGTTTGTGGTGAGTCTCGCTATCCTCACTTCTCAGGAGCAATTCTGACTGTAAATCTGTTTGTTTTTCTGGCAGCCCATGATATATGCAGTATTTTTTGCCAACACCATAATTCTAAGGCATTAATTCTTCTTCAGTCTTCTTTATTCTTTGTCTAGCTTTCCTATGAGCACAATTAAGTGTTCAGGAATTCTCATTCTTTGCAGTGTTATACTATATATGTCATGATCCACATAGTTGAATGCCTTTGCATAGTCATTAAAACACAGGTAAACATCTTTCTGGTATTCTCTGCTTTCAGCCAAGATCCATCTGAAATTAGCAACGATTTCCTATCGTTTTCTGAATCAAGCCTGAATTTCTGGCAGCTCCCTTTCAATGTATTGCTGCAACCATTTTTTAGTATCTTCAGCAAAGTTTTACTTGCATGTGATATTAATGATATTGTTTGATAATTTATGCATTGTGTTGGATCACCTTTCTTTGGAATGGGTACAAATATGGATCTCTTTCAGTTGGTTGGACAGATATTTGTCTTCCAAATTTCTTGGCATAGACGAATAAGCACTTCTAGCATCGCATACGTTTGTTGAAACATCTCTATTGGTATTCTGTCACTTCCTGGAGCATTGCTTTTTGGCAATGCCTTCAGTGCATCCTGAACTCTTCCTTCAGTACTATTAGTTCTTGATCATACGCTATCTCCTGAAATTGTTGAATGTTGACCAATTCTTTTTGGTACACTATGTAGTCCCTCCACTTTCTTTTGATGGCTTCCTGTGTTGTTCAGTTTTTTGCCCATAGGATATTTCAGTATTATAACTCAAGGCTTGAATTTTTCCTTCAGTTCTTTCAGTTTGAGAAATGCTGAGTGTTCTTCCTTTTCGGTTTTCTAACTCCAAGTCTTTGCACATTTCATATTAATGCTTTAATTTGTCTTTTTGAGCTACCCTTTGAAATTTTCTGTTTAATATGTTACTTCCTTTCACTTTAGCTATTCTATGTTCAAGAGCAAGTTTCAGAGTCATTTCTGACATCTGTTTTTGTCTTTATTTCTTTCCACTCTTTTTGATGATCTTTTGGTATAATGTCCTTGATGTCATCCTACAACTTGTCTGGTTTTCAGTCTTTAGTGCTCAATGTGTCAAATCTATTCTTGAGATGGTCCATAAATTCAGGTAGGATATGTTCTAGGTTGTACTTTGGTTCTCATGGACTTGTTTTAATTTTCTTTAGCTTCAACTTAAATTTACAGATGAGCAACTGATAGTCTGTTCCATAATCGGCCCCTGGCCTTGTTCTGACTGGTGATATTAAGCTTTTCCATTATCTAACTCCACATATGTAGTTGATTTGATTACTGTGTATTCTATCTAGCTAGGTCCATGTGTATAGTCACTGTTTATGTTATTGAAAAAGGACATTTCCAATGAGTAAGTAATGGATCTTGCAAAATTCTATCATTCTATCCCATGTTGTTTTTGTCATCAAGGTTATATTTTCCAACTACCGATCCTTCTTCTTCATTTCTAACTTTTGCATTCCAAATCAAAAAGCAAACCAAACTTGCTGCCATTGAGTCAGTTCCAACTCATAGTGACCCCATTGGATTTCCAAGGCTGTACATCTTTACAGAACCAGACTGCCTCATCTTTCTTCCACAGAGTGGCTATTGGGTTCAAGCCATCAACCTTTGGTTAGCAGCTACATGCCTTAACCAGTACACCACCAGAGCGCCTTTTTTGCATTCTATTCAGTCAGTAATTATCAATGCATCTGGATTTCATGTTAGATCAATTTCAGACTGCAAAAGTTGGTAAAAACTTCAATTTCTTCAACTTTAACATTAGTGATTGCTGTATAAATTCGAATAATTATTGTATTAACCGGTCTTCCTTGTAGGAATATAAATATTACCCTATTGCTGACAGTGTTATACTTCAGGGTAGATCTTCAAATGTTATTTTTGACAATAAATGAGATGCCATTCCTCTTCAATTTGTTATTCCCTGTCACTGTAGACCATGTGATTGTTCAATTCAAAATGGCCAATTCCAGTCCATTTCAGCTCACTAATGCCTAGGATATTGATCTTGATCTGTTTCATTTCACTTTTGACAACTTCCAGTTTTCCTGATTTATATTTAGTACATTCCATGTTCCAATTATTAATGGATGTTTGAAAGTATTTCTTCTCATTTTGAGTTATGCCACATCACAAAATGAAGATCCCAGAAGCTTTACTCCATGCACATTGGTAAGGTTGACTCTACTTGAAGGAGGCAGCTCTTCCCTAGTCATTTTTTGAGTGACTTCTAACATAAGGGGCTCATCTTCTAGCACAATACCTGAAAATGTTCCGCACCTATCCATAAAATTTTCACAAGCCAGTTTTTTTAGAAATAGGTTGCCAAGTTCTTTTTCCTGTTCTGTCTTAGTCTAGAAGCTCTGTAGAACCCTGGCCACCATAGGTGCTGGCATTTGATATACCAGTGACATAACTTCCAGCATTACAGGAACTCACAAGCCACCACAGTACAACAAACACATGAGTAGACGATTTGTAGTACATAAAAAATATAATCATTAGAAACCATAATAATCCCCGAAGGTGGTGGGGAGCACCCCAATGCTGCCAAACTAGTGACCAAAGTAGCATACCTACCCAATCTGCCCAGATATATCAAGCTAAAACAAAACCTAAATCAGAGTGAAACAGTCCAACACACAGTCAACAAATAAATTCAATATCGCCAAAATATCTCGGAGACAACAGACAGCTTCAGATTAAGCAAAGAAACAGGACAAGATGGCTCCAGTAAGTGACCAAAATAAAGAACCAGAAAACTTCCCTGAGGAAGAAATGATAATGAAACTACCTAATAAGGAGTTCAAAAGACTTATGTATAGGGCCCTCCAAGAAATGAAGGAAAACACATATAATAGTAGAATTCAGAAAAACAATACAAGAGTAAAATTACAAAATAAGCAATTAGAAATCATACAAAAGCAACAATTAGAAATCCAGAAGGTTAACATTAAAACTTTGGAGATAAATAATACATTGGAAGGACAAAGGAATAGAATGAAATCAGTATAATACTGGATCAGTAAAGTAAAAGACAAATCCTTTGACACCAGTTTGTATGAAGAAAAATCAGGAAAAGAAAATGAAGAAAGCCTAAGATTTATTTGGGACACTATGAATAAGAAAAATTTACATGTAACCAGAATTCCAGAACGAGAGCAAACCAAAAAAAAAAAAAAAAAAAACCACTACAGAGTATTGTCAAAGATTGCTGACAGAAAACTTCCTAATATTGTGAAAGACAAAAATATATCCATGCAAGAAGCTCCACAGACCCCATACAGGGTAGACTGCAAAAGAAAGTTACCAACTCAAATAATCATAAGCACCAACACATCATAATCAAAATTTCCAAAACCAGAGACAAAGGAAGAATCCTGAGAGCAGTTTGGGAAAAATGAAATGTTACCCACAAAGGGCAATCAATAAGGTTAAGCTCTGATTTCTCAGCAGAAACCTTATAGGCAAGAAGGCAATGGGATGACATAACACCTAACCCTGAAAGAAAAAAATTGCTAACCAAGGCTTATATATCCACAAAACTTCCCCTCAAATATGATGGTGAAATCAGGACACTTCCAGATAAACAGAAATAAGGGAATTTGTAAAAACCAGACCAACCTTACAAGAAATGCTAAAGGGAGTCCTTTGCACAGAGAACCAACAAAAGCAGATGACAACCTGAAATAGACACATGACAACATCACCAGACACCAATCTAGATAAAGAATTTTCAAAAACAAAATGAACTTCTTGCTGTTAGGTGCCATCAAGTTATCTCCTACTCATAGTGACCTCATGCACAACAGAACAAAACACTACCTGGTCCTGTGCCAACTCCACAGTCTTTGCTATTCCTGAGCCCATCATTGCAGCCACTGTGTCAATCATCTTGTTGAGGGCCTTCCCCTTTTTCGTTGCCCCTCCACTTTTCCAAGCATGATATCCTTTTCCAGGGAATGGTCCCTTCTTACAGCGTGACCAAAGTAGGTGAGATGAAGTCTGACCATTC